TAAGTACATACATACAACTATGCAAATAGTTTGGATCAAAAACAAGCGTGCGCTTGTTTGTAACGGTAAGGTAACTACAAAGGTTTACAAGAGACTTTTTTCCTGCAAAGACAAATTGGAGAATCTTCTTCTGCAAAATTGTTGGGAGATGAGCATCTCACTCTTGCAACGACAAGAGACACAAAACGTACAAGAAATGGGTAGGCAGATGAGGATGGAACTTATGTGACCGTTATCCCTCCTCAGAAACATGACAAATTTGGATAAAGAAGAAATGCAAGTATACACTTTCACCCATACATCATCTCGTCACCAAAAAAATTGTGTCCATCTTTCTCCTTCACTAAAGAGACCAATCCATAAATGTAGTCACCTTAGCTCTTACGGGTGGCTCATATCCACAACCTAATTATTGGAACAACAAGCTCTCTACAATCTCCATCACCTTACATTTACGTAGATACAGACATCCAACATGCCAAAAAGATAGATACATACATACCAATGTACATATTTCTTAACAGGCCAAAGACAACAAAAGTAAGAGAGACGGAACAATAATATGGCTCATTTCCATAGAATCATCCCAATTAGTCTCCATTTAAGCATTCAAAAATAACCACATACACAAAGTACAGTTTGATGCTGCAGAATCAAGTATCCATTGACAGACTACAAAATGCTCAACATAAACAAATGACCAGAGGGAAGAACTCAGAGTTCATTTTATCCAAAAGAGGCCACACTAGTAATCTTTTAAACCCAGCCTCAGTTCTCCCACTTCATCCTCAGAACCGTAAAAGGGCCTTCTAACATTTGGCATCTAAAAGAACAATTTATAGAGATTTGGCCGCTGCAACAACATTCTCCGCTGTTAAACCAAACTCTTTGTATATTATTCCCGCAGGAGCACTGGCCCCAAACCGGTCAATACCAATCGCCTTCCCCTTGCTCCCGATGTACTTCTCCCAGCCAAGTGTGGACCCTGCCTCAATGCTAACCCTAGCGGTAACAGCTTCCGGAAGGACACTCTCCCTGTACTCATCAGACTGCTCATTGAACAACTCCCACGAAACAAAAGATACAACTCTGACAGTCTTCCCCTCTTTCCTCAGTTCATCCCCAGCCTTGGCAGCAATCTCCAATTCTGAGCCGGTGCCCATGAGAATGACATCTGGTTTGTTTCCAGAGGAGTTGTCAGAAATAATATATCCTCCTTTCTCCACTCCTTCAATGGAAGTCCCTGGAAGCTGAGGAAGCTTCTGCCTCGAGAGCGCAAGAACCGAGGGTGTCTTATTCCTGAGAACAGCTATCCTATAGACACCAGCTGTCTCATTGCCATCAGCTGGCCTAAACATCAATATATTAGGCATGGCTCTAAAGCTCACCAAATGCTCGATAGGCTGATGGGTGGGCCCATCTTCTCCGAGACCGATGGAATCATGAGTCATCACGTAGATAACGCGAGCCTCACACAAAGCTGATATTCTCATTGCAGCTCTCATGTAGTCTGTGAAGACAAAGAAGGTAGCACAGTAGGGGATAAGGCCAGGGCTGTGGAGGGCAATGCCATTACAAATTGCTCCCATCCCATGTTCTCTGACACCAAACCGTAGGTTCCTCTCCTCAGGGGTTGCTTTCTGGAAGTCTCCGAACATTTTCATTAGTGTCATGTTAGAGGAGGCGAGATCAGCACTGCCTCCAAGGAATCCTGGGAGTACTTTGGCAAGTGCATTCAAGTTCTGCTGTGAGAGGTTTCTCGTAGCGTCTGCGGGACTTTGAGGAGTATATGTCTGGAAAGGAAACAAATGCCATTACCAAATGTCAATAAAGATTTGATAAGATTATTAGAAGTTGTGATTGTACAACGAAGACCACTAAATACACCAATGGGTAGAAGTTCCAAAAATAATTAAGAAGAATATGCTACTAGTTAATTGAGGAGATGCTCCTTAATAGAACCGAATGGAAGGATATGACTTATGTAGCCGACTCAAAAATTTTGGATTAAGGCTTTATTATTGTTGTCCATGCTGCATTATTAGCGGTTGTGATTGAAATACAGAAAAGAACGGATTGGAGGGTTATTTACAGGAAGAGCCTTTTCCCATCCAGAAGGCAACTCTCCGGTTGTGATCGACTTCAATTCCGCTGCTTCCTCCGGGTATTTCTTCTCATACTCGGCAAATTTGGCATTCCATTCTGCTTCAAGAGAAGCACCATCAGCAACATGGCGACTCCAGTGACTGAAAAAGGATATCCAGAATGAGTTCATTATTGTAAAAGAAAAGAACACTTTTCTTTCAAAGAAATTTCTTTATTTTTATTTTTAGGCACATATTTTCATCAATCATCAGCCTATGAAGTCAAATAAACACATGGGCAGATTTAAAATGTAAACAAGCAATATATTAATTTGTCAGACCTCTTAACATCCTCTGGCACATGGAATGGCTCGTAAGGCCATCCAAGGTTCTGACGAGTAGCGTCAACTTCCTTGGCACCAAGTGCACTACCATGCACACTGTATGAGTTTGCCTTGTTTGGTGATCCATAACCAATGGTGGTGGTTACCTGTAATAAAAATAAATGCAACAAGATTGCAACAATCTAAAGAACACATAGATTCACTAATATATAAAAGTAGAGAAACGTGAAAATAAACCTTAATCATTGTGGGTTTGTCGGTAACAGCCTTTGCCTCTTTAATAGCAGCACGGATCTCATCATAACCAGTGTTACCATTCTTCACCCAAATAGTGTGCCAACCAAGAGCCTCAAACCGAGCACTAACATCTTCGGTGAATGCAATCTCGGTGTCTCCATCAATGGAAATATGATTGTCATCATAAAAAGCAATTAGTTTCCCGAGACCCCAGTGGCCAGCAAGAGAGGAAGCTTCATTTGAGATGCCCTCCATATTGCAGCCATCTCCAAGAATGCAATATCTAAAGCCATGAATCAAACAAATTAGTTTACTACTTTGTACTCACTCTTGAAACAAATAGTAAAGACATGAAATCTTAATGAAGAGGATAAATGTCATAAAATGGAGATTACGTGTAATGGTCGACAATCTCATTATCAGGCTTGTTGAAGCGAGCAGCCAAGTGCTTCTCAGCAAGCGCCAAACCAACGGCATTTGCAATACCCTGACCAAGAGGACCTATAAACCAACACCACAAAGAAGAAAGTATAAAAGAACTGATAATCACATTAAATTCTGATTCCTGTGTTAATAAAAGAATTATACTAAAAAATCCTTCTTATATCTCATGAAAAGTTAAAGAAGCAAACCAGTAGTGACTTCAACACCGGGTGTTTCAAAATTCTCAGGGTGACCGGGTGTTCTGCTTCCCCATTGTCTGAATTGCTTCAAGTCTTCTTCCTATGCAATGAAATCAAAACCATGAAAAGAATCCATAAAAACTGAAAATTTTATTGAAATCAAATTTTCAAGAACATGAAAAATCCCTAGCTCTTGGGGTTTCTCATAGTGTAACTAAGACTAACTTGATAAGCTCAATCAAAGTTTGAGCGTAGTTATCACTCTATAGGGAGGGGAAAAAATTATCAGAGAAATAAGAACATTAGGACTGGAAAAAATTTGAACCCAATCTACCTAAGTGTTTGTATTTGAATCTGTTTAAAATTGTCGAATACGAAATCAAATACCATTCTCTAAATTTCTTCCAATTCAAATATAAACATTTTCAAATATTCATGAGTATTTATCAGATACTACGATCCATTTAGTCGATTGATAATTTACACTTTATGAATATTAAACCATGTGACTAAGTAAATACTTTTATTTGGTTAAAGAAAATTTGTTTAAGAACTGACATATGACTCTTTAAGTTAGTCAAAACTAGTATAGAATTTAAATTACAAAATATAAATGGGTCAAAAACATAACATCGTTTAGGTAATAATACAAATTTTAAAGGATCAAACTATAAACGAATATTTGATAATCAAACAAATAGAATGTACATCTAGTTAAATCCTATTCGTTTATGAACCGAATACTAAAAACTATTTGTTTGCTGCTAAATGAACTACCAAATCGACTACAACCTGTTAAAGTACGAGCAGCTAATGAACTATTTGTTCATTATTTGATTCATTTCAGGTCCTACAGAACATACATTTCAAGGTTTTAACTTCATCTTTATACTGGCCAATCACTTCCCCGAAAAAAAAATAAAAAATAAAATGTCATTTAAATTAGGCAATTTAAAACAAAAATGATAGGGCCATAACAATTAGTGGCTCTTGTATAACACCGATGACTTTTGATTCAAAAACCAACAGTACTCATTACTCAATCAACCAAACCCAAGTCAAAAACATACCCATTAAAACTAAACAACAACTCCAACTACCAAAATTACCGAACTACATTTAAGAAAAAATCTCACCTTCACACTGTCATATCCAGCGAGATGCAGGAGAGCATACTGAAGCATGCATCCATGGCCAGCAGAGAGCACAAACCTATCCCTATTAAACCAGTACGGATTCTTCGGGTTGTACCTCATAATCTCATCATACAAAATATGCCCCATTGGCGCGCATCCCATTGGGAGCCCAGGATGGCCCGAATTCGCCTTCTCGACCGCGTCGATCGCTCAAGAAACCTAATTATTGATCGACTTCTCAACCACGCCTCCGTGCCCCGGCCTCCACCGCCTCCACGCCGCCCGCCCTCACCGGCAGCGATCCCTCCGCCCCCCTTCTGTGGCCCCGCAGCGCCCAAATCAGAGTTCTCGGAAGCCCAGGGAGAGGGTTATTGGCCTGTCTGAGTGGGCCGTAGATGGGCCGGTTAGGGACCGGTTGAGGAGAGCTTGGGCTGCGGTGATTGAAGAGGAGGCTGCCATTTTTCTCCTCTTTGAGCTTTTTTGGTTGGTGAGAGGAGATATGAGAACTGAAGAGGTGAGAGGGAGTTTTTGAGAGGATTTTGAGCGAACGTTTGTTTTGTTTTGTTTTGTTTTGTTTCTTTTGGGGGGCGAAAAGGGGAGGACGGCACGGTTTGGAGGAGGATAGAGCTGGTGAGAGGCGTTGGATTGGGGTGAGGGTTGATCGTGGCCGTCGAATTAGGGTAGGAAATGAATGCTTCGTGTTTGATCGAAGGGGATAGTTTGCTCAGACGACTGGATACGGTGCGCCCGATTTTTCAACTGGTGGGACCCACTCTGATCCGGTTGATCAACGGATGAATAGGTAATGTTATCGGGGTATAGAGATGGAAATTTTTAAGCGTTAAAAATATAGACCCCATGAAAATAACAAAAAGGAATGCGGGAAGGAATATGCTGATAGCAAAATAGAAGGATTTTTTTTCACGACAGCCCACCTTTGAAATAGGATGAAAATACAAACACCATTTTAAAAGTTTAATTTGATATAGAAACCATCTGTAAAAGGTTGTGACCATCTCTAAAAGGTTCTCATGGCAATCAACCATCTCAACTTTTTTTTTGCGGGGTCAAAGACAGGTAACGTGCTTGCTAGGAGGCACCCTATAGAGGGTAGTGTCAAGTGACACCATAGTCTAGCAAATAAATAATATGAATCAGTTTATCACTAATTAATGACACCATAATAAAGGTAAGTAGTGAATAGTGTGTCGCGCGTCTATTCGGAAGCGTGCTCGCTCATCTAACAAGTCCTAAACACGGGAGAAGAATAACCAATCACACACGAGCACAATCCAAAACTGAAATACGACAGATCAATCACAAACACAGAGATATACGTGGTTCAGCAATTTATCTACGTCCACGGGGAGAGGATGGGGAGATTCCACTAAATCAAGGAGAGTACAAAGGGTTACAATCTCACAAAACTCACAAACTAACCCTCAACCAAAGCTCTTAACTTGCTCACAATATCTGTTGGCCTTCTTATTTTGATGATGTTTAACAAACAATTTACAACTAATGTTGTTTGTCTAGTGTTTGTGTTTATCTATTTATTGTAGACAAGCAACATGTTGGAGGATTAATGGAATTGCGCATTCACGATCATATCCAATGGAGGTTGGCGGAATTGTGGTATGAAGCCTACGTAATTGCATTCACGATCATATCCAATGGAGGTTGGCGGAATTGTGGTATGAAGCCTACGTAATTCAAGTTCAAGCTTCATCCGCAAGTGTACCAAGTCAAGCTTATTGAAGATCAAGATTGCTTGGGTAACATTTAGTTTAGGTGTTATATTATGTGTGTTGGTACTCTAAGCTCAATCATACACACACATATGTTCGCGGGAAAAATCGTAGCTTTCTTCATTGTTGATATCATTGCTATCTCAGTTAACAACTTTATGCGTTACAAAGATCCGGTCTTTTTATAAGATCCGGTTACAATGAAAAATCAAAGAAAACAAAGTAAAGATTACAATTTTCCTTATTTGTCGAACTAATCGCGAGCTCCTGTTTTGCGGTCGCTCGCTTTGGTGGGTTCTTTGCCTGCGCCGGGGTTATTTGCCGTGGACCACCGCGTGATCTCGATCCGGTCGGATCTACACGATATGACGGGTAATATTCCACCAAGGGAATAATAGCCGGGAGGGATTGTTTCACCAAGGAAACAACCGCTCGAATCTCGGGATCTAAGAACCAAGCTTAGATCCGGAGTGTGATCGTGTAGATCTCAAATCCAATCCTCTCGAACTCCTGCCTTATTTGGCGTTGGTGATCGCCGAGCACCGGATCTGAAAGTCCAAGTCTCCAAGCCTTCAAAGTTGTGATCTTTTTTAGATCTGAGTCTTCAATCCAGCAGGGCTTCGCCTCTCTCCAAAATTTCCAACCTCTGAAACAAATGAGCACAAGGCCTATTTATAGGCACTCAGAACTGTGCATTTGCACAGTTCTGAGCCTAGCCACCCATGGGTGGCTCGGCCTTGGCCGAGCCACCTCAGGGTGGCTCGGCCTTGGCCGAGCCACCCTGGGGTGGCTCGGCTTTGGCCGAGCCACCTCAGGGTGGCTCGGCCTTGGCCGAGCCACCCTGGGGTGGCTCGGCTTTGGCCGAGCCACCTCAGGGTGGCTCGGCCTTGGCCGAGCCACCCTGGGGTGGCTCGGCTTTGGCCGAGCCACCTCAGGGTGGCTCGGCCTTGGCCGAGCCACCCTGGGGTGGCTCGGCTTTGGCCGAGCCACCCTGGGGTGGTTCGGTTTCGGCCGAGTCCCCGGGTGTTTGTCCGTTTCGTCCTTTGTTTCCGGTTCTGGTTCTCTTGTGTGGTTGATTGACTTGGCAACGACTCTTTGACTTGATTCCAGATTTGGCAGTGAGTCGGGTTCCTGATATGGCAGTAAATCAACTTCTGAATTTGAGTCCGGAATTGATGTTGATTTGATCGTGATTCATCCGAGTTCGCTCTTGTTTAGATGACTCGGTGATTCACCTAAACATTGGTTTGATTCCGCGTGCGAGTGGATGCATTCCAATGCTTGGGTGCGATTTGTCGCCTCGTTAACCTGCTCCGTTGCGTATAGCTTGGCTTCAGCGTTGGCGAGCTAACGGTCTTGTTTGGATACGTCGCCCGGTGGTCCGTTTGTTAAATCGGCGTCGAGCTGTGCTAAGGGACCTATAGGCAATTTTATACGCCTACAGATACCCCCTCCAAAGTATTTCAGTCTCATTCTTTTATAGAAGAGTCTGGAATACTTTGGATGTGATTGCCCCAACCTTCAGTCGGTGTAACGGGACTCTGGAATGACTTCTGTTCTGGATTCCTTCAATTCCTTCAGGCTATTCAGTGCTTTGTAGAATGCCTGTAGGGGTTCCGGTGCTGCATTTATTGTCTGACCGTTGTTGGAATTTGAACTTGAAGTCGATTCTTGATTTCTTGACTTTTTGGCTCGAGTTTGCTGCTTCAACACAGAACTTATCATCGATTGACTGCGTTGAATCTTCATCTATAACGCGTTGTCTGGCGTTTGAGCTTCATTGCGACGCGTTGTCCGGCGTCCAGGCTTCATTATGATGCACTGTTCGGCATTTGACACAGTTTATACTCGTACGTCTGCTGGAGTACACACGGTTTAAGCTCTTAAGGAATTGGAGCATGGATCTTATCCCAAGGTCGTTGGATGCTCGAGTCACGAGACCAACTCATAAAGTTGATGCGTCAATGACTCGCATATTTATAGGATTTTTGGCAAATCCTCAGCCATCAACGGGTTTGATGCGCCTTTACCGACTACCGTTTGAGTCGGGCTAGCATGCGGATTGTTTTAAGTCCGTTCCGCATGTGACGTTATGCTAAAAGAGTTAACTCTTTTAGTGCTACGATATTGAATACGTAGACTTCGTCTTTCTCCTGTGAAAAGACTAAACAGCAACGTGTATCAGACGTTGACTTAGGATTTTTGGCAAATCCTCAGCCCTCAACGGATTTGTCATGCTTTTACCGATTACCGTTTGAATCGGGCTTACATGCGGATTGTCTTAAGTCCGTTCCGCATGTGACGTTGTGCTAAAGGAATGAACTCCCTTAGACTTGATGCTACGACTTCGAATACGTAGACTTCGTCTTTCTCACGGGAATAGACTACCCGGCGACGCGTGTTAGGCGCTGACTTTAGGATTTTTGGCTAACCCCAAGCCTTTAACGGATTTGATTAACCTTTACCGACTACCGTTTGAGTCGGGCTAGCATGCGAATTGTCTAAATCCGTTCCGCATGTAACGTTGTGCTTAGAGACTGAATCCTCTAAGACTTGTTGCTATGACTTTGAATACATAGACTTCGCCGTTGTCATGGGAATAGGCTACCCAGCAACGTGTATTAAACGTTGACTTATCCCTCCTTAGGCTTCGGGATAAAATACCCCAGAATCGAACTCTGGTGTCTTTTTCTACGGGGAAAGACTAAACCGGCGACGCGTGTTAGGCGTCGGCATATCCTTTCTTAGGATTCAGGATGAAATTCCCCATGCGTGTAAGGCATGGATTTTGGTGTTATTAATAACAACCTGTCACAATGTTGAATATGTGAACGGGTGTTCTTTTTAAACGGTTAAGAACTGACCGGCAGCGCGTGTCAGGCGCAGACTTATCCTTGCTTAGGTTTCAGGATAGAATACCCCAGAATCGAACTCTGGTGTCTTTTTGTGCAGAAAAAAGACTAAACCGGCAGCGCGTGTTAGGCGCAGACTTATCCCTGCTTAGGATTCGGGATAAACTTCCTAGGATGAATCCTGAATTCTTCGAAAAGGATTGGTATGGGGAAGGAAGAATTTTATATTCTATTCCCCGAACAAAGAAGGAAAGGAGACTCGAGGTGGGATCTCCACCCCCAGAATCCGGAAAGGTGAAACTAAGAGTGGGATCTCCACTCCGAGAATCAAAAAGATTCGGATAACCCTAACTGTCGGAAGGTTTGATTATCGAACTAAAGATGAATTTCTCGTTTATCGAGAATGAATCGTGGTTTTGGTCCTAACTGTAGGAAGGTTTGACCAAGTGGGAGGTTTGAGGTGACCCTAACTGTAGGAAGGTTTGATCACTCGATTTGAAAGTGGACCTCTCGTTCATTGGAGGAATCGAGAGGGGTTTTTGGTTTTGGTCCTAACTGTAGAAAGGTTTGACCGAATGGAAGGTTTAAGACGATCCTAACTGTAGGAAGGTTTGATCGCTTGATTTGTGGACCTCTCGTTCATTGGGAGAATCGAGAGGGGATTTTGACTGTGGTCCTAACTGTAAGAAGGTTTGACCAATCAGGAACTTTACGTCCAGACTCTAACAGAGAGAGTGTTGAGTGCACAGACACAGTGAGAACTTGAATGGGAGTCCTTATTCATTACATTGCTGTGGTTTTGGGAACTTCCCGTTACATAAATCGTCCACCCCCAGTTTCCTCTGCGGAACTGGTTCGGACATTATTATCAGTTAACTAACCGGGTTATCCTTAAGAATATTAGCTTAATATTCTCCAGGAACTTCCCGTCAAAAGTGGGGAAACAGTTTAGACTCAT